ACCTTCAGTTATCATACATTTACAGTTACTCATTTAGTTGACGCTTTAACCAAAGTGACTTACAATTGCTATGTATGTCATAGGTCGGACGCCTCTGGAGCAGCTAGGGGTTAAGTGTCTTGCTCAGGGACACATTGGTGGATGTGTCATAGTGGGGAACTGAACCCAGGTCTCTTGCACATCACCACACCAACTCATATGACTGATTAGCCACACATTCCTCAGAAACTGTTCCAAAGACTTATATTACAACTTTGCTTGCATTCTTGCTTTAGAGCAGTATTTACGTTCAACATATGTTTTGTGTGTTTTGCTTTTGTCTCTGGAGTGAATCTGATATGATAATCATATCAGACATCTCAGAGCATGCAACCAATGATGGACATACAGGTCAGATTGCACAAATCTAGGCTGAATAAGTGCAGCTTTGTTAAATACAACAAAATCACACTAAACTGCTTCCCTTCAATTCTGAAAACCTCATAATTTCACATCCTTTACAGTGACAAATACCTTTTAAGTGGTCATTCTGCTGAGAAACCCTGATTATATTTACAATACTTCCCCTGGTAGTGTGCTAGTGGGGCTTTTAAGAGCAACCACATGAAGAGTATTTTTAAAACCAGCTCAGACACCACAGTGGCCACATTTGATGATGACTTGCAGACGTTTGTGGAGGACAGTTATTCTCATAATGAAAGAACAAAGTTTGACCAAAAAAAGGAGATGGAGATGGTTCAGGTGTTTTCACGCGAGTATGTAACTTCAGTCACCTGATAACAAATGGCTGTGTATTGGAGTGGGTGGGGGATGTGAAAGTGACCATGACCAAAACCTCAAACGAATCACGCGATGACAACTAAATTGTCTCCATGACAACTGGGCAAACTTTTTTTTCCAAACTTTCCTGTATGAATTTTTTTTCAAACTTCGATTTGTAAAGGTCAGTAATGACCCTCATGTACAAAAAACTGAGGGCTGGTTCCACAGGGTCATTGTACGTTTGGCTGGTATGATGAGAAGGCATTCATGCAGAGTGCTCCAAATGAACTCTTTTACAATAGTATTATTATTTATAATAAGAATAATAAAGATATTTATAATAATAAATAAAATAAGCAATAATTGGATACTACCAGGTGTGTATCATTCAAGTGTGTTCAGATAAGTTCAGTTCAAGTGAAAATAGCCCCATATTGCATTGGTATAAAGTCTTATTAAGTCATTTTTCCAGGCAAAAAATGTCAAGAACTCTCTGGTTGCAACTTCTCAAATGTGAGGATTTGGTGCTTTTCTGTGTTTTATATGATTGTACGCTAAATAATCTTTGGGTTTTGGACTGTTTATCGGAAAAAATAAATCAGTTTGAACTTACAAACACACAAACAAACAGGGTGGAAAAAGACCTCCCTGCAGCTGAGTCACACACAGAGAGAGAGAGAGAGAGAGAGAGAGAGAGAGAGAGAGAGACCTGAACAACAACAAAGTTTTAGTCCTTCATGTTTGACATCTTTTCTCTCCCAAAAACTAACCTCAGGCGCTCAGTTTACATCAGGTGATTTAGACTGACATTGATTTAGCAGGTGGAAGAGAACACCTGTGAAGGAATGACACTCACGCAAGATGGCCAGCCATGAAACATTAATGATGTTTGCTGGTAACTCAACACCACCTGTATTCTGTCTCCCTCTCGCTTGTTCTGAGCTCATTGGGACAGGGGGCCTTTAAAGGTGAATCAGGACAGGTACAGGCTGCACGTCACAGTTCTCCTGCATGTGGCTGAAATATAACTTTGTCAAGAGCTCATAACATCAGCACGTGGATATAATATGCCAAGGAATGAGGCTGTGAGCACTGCGTGTTACTGCAAGATTATGAAACCAGATTGTGAACTATATGATTAGCGATAGGGTGGGTCTACTTTGTCTCTATGGTGAGGACACAACAGTACAGCACGATGGAAACACAGAAGAACAGCCATAACGCAGATTTCACTTCTTTATCTTTACAAGGACGCTAAACCAGAAGGAACTTTACTGGGAATCCCCAAGTAAACCCAGCAGAGACTTTTGGTCCCCCCCCTCACGAATAACTCTTGGGAGAGACCCAACCCGTCCACCCACCCGCACATGTCAATCACAGACTCCGCAACTGTCACGGAAAGCAAAACACATAACCACATGGTCCGACAGCACCAGAAATGTCACTGAAATGTACTTTAACAGGTAAATTAAAGGCACAGCTGTAAACAAGGCGTGTGTTTCGATCTTTCTTTCTGATTCTCCTACCGCTGAACGGATCCTCCGGGTTGGACGGGGAAAAGCGCACAGCAGTTTTGAGCGGCGTCGAACAGCAGGTTTTACCACAAACAAGCACTCAGTATGTCCCCTCAGGAGAAAATAACCAAGTTGCTCTTGGTCACAGCTCCACAATTTCCTTCTTTCATACCAGTCCGCATAAGCTACTTAACCTGGTCCGCAGCTCACACAAAGGTAAAGCCGCACAAATCCTCATTTGAACGCTCCTCCCACTCACCCACAACAGGCCCACGTCCACTGGTGGAGTGTTTTCATGTGTGTTTGACATTTTCTGTGCGTTGAAATGATAAGTGGATGCATGTATAAAAGCAAAATAAGTGCCCTAGATAGGCTACTGAGCTATAGTAGTTGTACTGGTATCAATAGTCTACAGATGGTAGGTTATAGGGTAATCCACGTAAATGTGGAGTCAACAGTCTGCCTTGGTCGCCAAAAACACCACTCCTATTGAATGGAATTTTTATTTTATTTTCCAGGATCCAATTTCCAAAAGCCTTAGTTTGGATGACATTTACAGAATCTTCTATCCGCATTACAATATGCCTGATTCCTACTGATATTTAATTAGTTTTATTCATCAAATAGGTCACGTTCATCAATGCACGATCAAAAGAAGAAATATGATGAGATCATTCCGGTTTGACATGGATATCTACAGTATGTCGTCACCTGTTGGACAAAAAAAGTGAGATAAACAAATTCTACAAACGAGTCTTTCAAAAATATGATTTGATGCAAACATATTTTATTCCAATTGGTCCAGAAACTGAGAGTTTCCTTCTTCAAGGCCTTTTTTAAAATCCGTGTTGACATGGAATTCTGCTTTAAGTTATTAGCTATTCCCAGCTGCAGTTCCTGTGGGATCATTGTGATTTCCATCCTGAAATGCTACTGTAGAGTTATGAAAAAGGCAGAACCCTCGTTTATGCTTGATTGAAGGATACATTTAGCCCAAGTCACTATTTTAACAATTTGGAGCAAACTTAAAACACTAAACACAAAATTCCCAGGTAATATTCTGTAGTGATTTCTAAACTGAAAACAGTGGCCCTTATTCAAATGAAAGATAAATTTATTTCTAATTTAAAGTTTCTTTAAGGCTATAAAAATGACGAGGTCTGTAGCGACATCTACTGGAAGAGCAGCCATTTTCCCACAGTTGTGGATCCATTTATTCAGAATTCAGGAAAAGTACAATGATTTTTTACTCAAGTAATAATATTAATATATTATAATTCCAGTGTGTAGAAATAATTGGTTACAAGTAAAAGTCATGCATTGAAAATGTTACTTATGCAAAACTACAAAAGTTTTAGCATCCTAAAAGTGAATGCAGAATAGCCCATATACTGTATATTATTTGATTATAAAATAGTGATAAATAGTGATACATTGTGTATGCATCACTTGAATGTTGCAGCCAGCAAAGGTAAGGCTGATTTTAACTCAGGGTAGTTTACAGTGTTTTGTTGATTTTATTTTGTATTAACTATCTGAATCTGCAACATAATTTGTAACCAAAGTTGTCAAATGTAAACAAAATACAGTGTACGATATTTCCCTCTGACATGTAGTGGAGTAAAAGTATAAAGTAGTACAACATGGAAATACTCCAGTAGCATACAAGTACCTCAATTGTAGCTCCTTAAGACGACTCAATGAGGATTATTTCAGATGGCTCAGGCTGTGCATTAAAAACCAAAGACATGTAAGTCAATAGACAAATATCAATGTTGAATATGCGACATGAGTATAGTTGAGGGACTAACTACAGGTGACAATACATTACTTATTTGCAGATAGAAAAGGTTTCAGGTGAAGTGTCCTACAGATTTTCTGCAGTACAGTGGACCCTGAAGTTATGTCTAGGGTAGGCAATTTTATTTCAGATTATTTCAGAATTTTTATATTTGTTGAAATTTTCCTTACATCCTGATCAATAAACCAAGTGCTCTGACACAAAAAAATAAAAAAACAGTGGCTGTGGCAGGACTGTAATGATTAATGATTTGATTTGGACTGAATGGCTGGCCTATGTTATCCAATGAAAATGTGTTTTGGAGAAGTGGCTTTTGAGGGAGGTTTGAAGAAAGGAGATAGATCATTTAAAAAGCAGTCTCTTGCCAGTTTCTCCAATGTTGCCTAGATTCCAGCTTTAAAACTGACCCATGGTGGATCATTTATTGGCTGACTCCAGTATTTTTAGATTTAATTGTCCCATAGGCCTATGTGAAAAAAATACTTTTACTCCTGGAGTTTGGAGAAATACAATTTAGAACTTCATGATGGGAGATAAAATTGAATACTTGACTAATTAAAATATCAATATTTAAGCCATATTGGTTAGATTTTTCCTCATCCTCACGAGGTACATAACGGTCAGTTTCTTGGTTGTTGAAAGGTTGTTCTGAGGAGACAATGCACCAAAAATCCCTGCATTTTTTGGATTTCCTCAACAAATAATTTTTATTTTTTTTGAAGTTTTAACCATGAGCTAATTGGATAATATGTTTGGTAGGCCTGTTATCGGCGGGCAACTTAATCCTGCTTTGACTGTGTACATTCCCACGCAAAAGTTGGACTGCGCTGCCTGTTGGGGGCCCGGACAGATATTGGCACCACCTCCATCCACTGCAGAGAAAGTGCTGCTGTGGGCAGGACAAAGTGAAACTCCCAGTGGACAGGACAGCAACCAGGGTTTTATCGACCGTGTGAGATGAACTAGCTACATAACGGATTTCTGGTGTATTTCATTTATTTATTTTTATTTCTTCGTCTTTCTAAATCGCAATGGCCGAAGCCCGGCGTGAAGTGGAAGAGGGGCAGCGCAGAGATCTGCGGGACGTCCGGAACAGACCCCGGGCAACAGGTATGTTTGCGAATGTAGCCTCCCAGGCTTACAATCCTCGGATGAGCTTAATAGTTTCCTGAAACACATAACGGGTACTGAAAAGGTCGATGTAAAAAAAATAATGAAATAGCCTATATGGGCATATACAGTATATAATATGTCAGTTGTTCATTTGTTGTCGACATTTATCATATGATTTTGACTTCTTAGAGCTGAGGTACAGACTTAATGCGTTTTGTGATTGGCAGTGAAGTTTAATGGTTATTTTAAAATCACGTTAGTTTATATACTTAACAAGATTAAGCAAATCATGATGTTGTGATTTAGAAAGGTGGGTGTACAGTATTTTTCATTCCACTCCAGACATCCACTGTTTTCCATTCATTAATGTAGCCTACTAGATGAAAAAATATTAGCAAACTTAGTTGGGTTGTGTAATCAGTAACAATGAACATCAAGTATGCATTTATTTTTGTCAAAGACACATTATTGTTCATACTGGTATGAAATATCTGCCTTTTGATTTTCATGCCATGCAAAAATTAATGGAAACTAAGTGAGGTCTGCAACAGTGGGAAAAATACCTCAAACATTAATTACTGCACAACAAAAATGAAAATTCTAGATGATTTGGAGGTGCTACCATGCAAAAATCAGATCTTGATCAACTTGCTTTTGAAGATCCTTTCCTTCATTTAAATATCCATGCTTTGATACCTTTGGTCCTCCTTCAGTTGCTATGAGACACAAAACTCTTACATAGCATGAAGCAGTAAAGGCTGGTCGCCATGTTTTGGTCTCCTGGGTGGAAGTTCACTAAAATTCTACAAAAAGTATTTTTTCCATTCAAGTCAAAATACTAAAGCACAACACAAAGGACAGTTTGGTTTCATTCAGTTAAACTGCTTAAATGGCGCAGTTTACATCCTCTGTCATAAACAATCAACTAATTAGCAATGACTTGACAGAACAAATATTTATTTTAATGTTATCTTATCACTGACAAATCCTCAGTGCCCCATTTGGTGAAAGTGCCATTTATACCAGCCACTGATGGATTAACGAGAAATCCATCAGTAACAGGGGCAGCAGGAAACAGAGCTGGAAAGAGTCTGTCACCAGAAACTGGCTTGCTTATAGGTTTGTAGCGTCAGTATTAAGCCTGTGATTTAATGAACAAACCTTAGCTTTCAGTATCAGTCAGTATCAGGGCTCTCATACAAGTATAGTCTCAGTATTAGTTTAATTCCCCTCTATTATGGTTCAGAAGAAGGTTCCTTGTCAATATAACACCGTTTTCTTTGTTCCTTGTTTTTTTTCTTAGCAACACCTGGTGTGCAAACTCTTATTTCTCTAACTCCCCTGTGCCCTGCCCTGCACGGCTATCTGCAGCCAATGTATCAGCTCCGACTACACCCCCAAACCACACCCTGACCCCACCAGCTGCCTAGATGGAAATTTCTGTCAGTCTCTCTGGGCAGACAGGCTGCTGTGTCATAAACAAGCTGTACTTGTCTGCACTAGATGCAGTTTTCCATCCTTTCAGAATGTTTTGATATGATACATTCCAACGTCAGAGGTTTGCATTGGACCCATTGGAAATATTTTCAGGTGGTTTCCACTGTGTATCACTCGTCAGCTTTGACACCACCTAATCATCTCTGACTAAAGGTCCACATCAGCTGCTGACATTGTATTACTCACTCATCACACTATTATCGGTCTTGTTTTTAGTGAAAGATAAATGGCTTTGTCTGTTAACAACAGCAAAAATGTTGTGTTTATCGCTGCATGTTCAATAAGACACCCCAAGGGGGGAAGAAGTATTCAAATCCTGTACTTAAGTAAAAGTGATAATACAGCACTGTGAAAATCCTCCACTACAAGTAAAAATCCTGCACTGAAAACCTTACTTAAGTAAAAGTATGTAAGTATTATCAGAATCAAGTATCAAAAGTAAAAGTGCTCATTCTGCAGTTAAATGCCCCACAGCAAGAGGGTTGTGGGTTCAAACCCCACCAAAGACATGCAGGCTAGGTTAATTGGTGTCAGTTTAGCTGAAGTTGGAGAAAGACTAAAGCTAAACCCTCTATCAGATTTTGCACATATGAAGTTCTGGCGCGTGTAGTATGACAGATTGTTTTTCTTTCTCTCCCTTTGTTGCCATCCGTTGCACCAGCTGCTCTGTGACTGCTGTCGCTGTGCTGAGTAATGTCAGCATGTGTTTAAGTGAGAGTGCGGCTGTGAAGGGAAACCTTTCCTGCTGACTTCAGCAGCTTTCTCGTGTGTTTGTGGTGTCTTTTCAAGTGTCAGTGATCCACAAATACCAAGGGATATATGATTAGAAATAGAATCCAAAACAATAGGTGTTCATGGGACTTGTCAAAGAATCTGGCAGGAATTTGTATTTTCTTAAATTAGGGGCACTATAAATGTTCTTTCAAATAATCCTCATGCTTTTTAAGGGACAGCGATGTCATTGGCCATTCAATTGGATACTTTGTTCACCACTGAAAAATTTGAACAAGTATTGGATGGATTACGGTGACATTTTGTACATGTATCCATGGTCCCAAGAGGAAAAATACTGATTAGTTTGGTGATCTTGTGAGTTTTCATCTAGTGCTACTAGCTGGTTGCCATTTGTGGTTCTCAACAACTGTGGGATGAACTACTGTCAGACCAGATCATGCTGACAGACATTCATAATACCCGTACGGTGAATTGTAATAAGTTTGATGATCTCCTGACCTTTTGCTATAGCTCTATATATAGACGGCTATAGCTATAGCTCTATGTCCTGAGGCATTGCGACATTTTAGCACCATTTTATCTTTTTTAATTAGATATGTTGGATTCTTAAAGGATGCCACACCCAATTAAGAATTTCTGCTTTGTCTATATTAATTGTCCTGTGGTATTACCACAGGCTATATTGTGATCACATCTAGGGCTGTTGCTTTTGAATCTACATACCAGTTTGCTCTCCTATAGTCCCAGACAATGTTATCTTATTGTATCTCCTTGCATAATACACATCCGTGTGTTGCTGTTTCTTCCGGTTCAGTCTCTTTAAAAATGTATTTGAGATATTAATATCTCAATGTTGCAATTAGTCCTGCAGCTCAGACAAGATAAAATTGGAGTGCTGGTAATTGGTACAAAGCCCCACAGAGAAAGTGACCCAAAGACTTAACCCCAGCCAACCAGTGAGCTCTTAAAATATTATTATTTTGACTCTGAATTCAACTGAAAGATGTTAATCTAGAATAATAACCAAATCTGCTATTTACCATTTCTAATGTATCATCAGGGTGCAAAGTCCTCAGGTACTCTGTGAACCTTTTAACTGTTTCAAAGTGCAGCCTGAAAACCGTTGGTGAAACAGCATTTAACTCATGGCACCCAAGGTTTTGGAACAGGAGTGTTTCTGTGATTGCAAATTTTCTCTTATTACTTTGTAGTTTTTATTATTTGTCATGTCCAGTTTATTTATTTAGTTCAGTATCTTGTGTGTACAACACTTGATCTTATGACTCAATAGAGGTACACATTGTTGGTGTTAATTAGTAGTAGTATTTTCAAACCTTTTACTTTGTAGGAAACAGACACTGAAGGTGGCACAACCACCTCTTCCAGAATGACCACATTCCAGTTGATCAGAATGGCCAAGTGAACACAGGAGGGCTGAGATATTACAGGGCCCTCCCTCTCTTTTTTCTGTTATCTGTGACTGCTTGCTTCAACTTCATTGTCACGCTCAGACACACACTCGATGGACTATGAGGGAGGATCCTGGTGGAAATATCCTTTTGATGCTGCAGATTTTATATTTATTCCTTTAATTCCTCACAGGTAGGGGCATCATTGCATGGTATCACGAGTCACGCTCTGTAGAGGGCAACAGCACAACACATGCATAAGTGAAAGTAAAGTTAACCAGACAACTGTCTGTCAACTGTTATGTCTCTTGTCAGACTGCATATAAACAAGGAAGCGGTGATGTGTGTGTGTATGTGTGAAGTAACAGAGCTTGATACTTTGTCCGGCAGTTGTTAAAAAACGTCTTTCTCATTAAGTGAAAGAACAGAAACTCTCTTCTCACATGTTGTTAAAGTGAAACTCGAGGTAGTAGCACTGTGGCCTTAATGGATAACAAGAAACAGGTGTGACAGGTGGATTTGACTGCCAACGAGTTCAGGGTTTCAAGCTAGAGGCATTAACAACAATGCTGACTTTAACCACTGTCTGTGTTTTTTAATTAAGTATTCTTCTACAGTTTGCTTTCAGATGAGAGTCTTATTAGTTTAGACTATTTCCTGGACTGGGATGTGTAATCTAGATTTTGCTCCATTTAAAAGTTGTTGTCTGGGCGAGACAGAAAATTCAGGTCACCACCAAATAGTACAGGAAGTAATAGAGTGTATGGTATGCGCCTGAAGCAGCACCTGGAATGTACCAGTTAATTTCACTTTCCACAGGCTACATGCAGTTTTTTATTTTATAGGAGAGAACATTTAATGACTTTCATTTTAACTAACATATATAATCCCTTTCAACAGCCATATTCCCAGTGTTGATCATACTGCCTCCATTTTTAGGACTTTAGTTTTTTCATGGGCATTTATGTTCAGTTTAATTGCAGTTTGATCATTTTGACAACTCGATGTAGTCTGTGTATGTATACAGTTTAATATAATAGAACGTATTACGTGTAAATTTGTGAAAAAGGAGGGAATGTATGGCATTGCTGCTCGTAATAACTTGCGCAGTTCTCTGTATCAAGGGAAATAACATGCATTATGGTTTCATCATCATTGTAAATTTAGTTTTGGAAGAACCAGCCAAACCACCACTTAAGACTAACTTGTTCGTCCAAAGGTGATTGCTGATGCTGCTCATGAGGGTTAGGTTCTTGTATTTCTAGTTTATGCACTCCAGTCTGTAAGCAACAAGTAAAAACAAAAGGCAATGAATCAATGCGAAACTTTTGAAAAGATGATCTGACACATTGTTCCTCTTACAAATTAAAACACTGAATTCATGAGCAACAAAATGCACCCTTGCTCAAATCCATACCCTCGCTATGGCCTTACTTGGTCTGGTATGATTGGTAGCTAAAGTTATGTAAAAAACTCAGAGTCACGATTTCCACTTTCTGCTTTTATAGGAGCTTTTTGCTTTCAGGTGATCCTCAGCAAGTGAAACACATTAGGTTAGGCCATCCTAAAATGATGGGACAATATACTATACTGAAAGTCTTTCGCTGTGATCATAGATGTGAACACATTTAAAAACAATGCAAGCTGAAAGTCAGTTTTTTTCATAGCTTGTCAGCGATCTCTTAATCTTTCTGTGCATGGTGGGCCATTGTGGACAATGTAGCAAATCAATGAGAAGAACTGCTTTATTGTTATTTTGGTTAGTTTTTTGTTATACTGTATCACAATATATGTCTATATCACGTTAGTGATTTTATCCATCTAGCCAACTCCAATAACAATTCTTGTAATATCTTTGTTGATACACATCAACCCATACCTCTTTGTTTTCCTCTACAGATCCTGAAAGAACCAAGCCAGATCATTTACATTCTAGGTATGTCATTTTTCCATCAAACTAGGTTTTCTTTGCATTACTGCCAACAATTGTTAAGTTTCACCAAACTGTATCTGTTGCTGGAAGCGAGGCACTATCCCTTTAACTGTCAGATCTGCTGATGGTGATGTTGTGAATGGACCAAACAATGCACTGATCTATTCTTACTGACTGACAGATAGTCAACATGGGGATGAATACGTCATGCTGCATTTTATTAGTTGTTGTTTACAGAGATTAAGGAAAGTAAAGCCTCCCCTACTAACCCTTGTAGACCTACGTACCTATTTATTCAAAAACACAGTTGATGAGAAATCACAAAGGATGTTTATGGCCTTAAGAGGCTTGTGTTTACAGCTTAGCTAACCACTTAAATTAACCATGTGGTATCGAGAAGAGGCGAGGATTGCTCGTCTTTCCCCCAGGCAGTTTACATCACTCTCAGTTCTTAATGAGCAGGATATGTGTTGGTGATGAGCCTCCACTGTCTAGAGAATTTTCTGTAGCTTTGGTAAAGGTTAGGACAGTTAGCAGAGAGTATCACAATTAATCTCTCTACATTTATAAAACACGAAAAGCACAAAGACAGAGGGGCTTTTAATATTACAATGTGATGAGATTTAAGGATTTTAAAGGAATCTTTACCATTGAGAGGTAAATAGCCTAGGGATATCAAATTATGTCTAATATGTTCGGCATGTGTGGAGCAGTGTTGTTGTGCAGAAGTGTAATCATTTGTCCTGTGTTTATCTGGAAGTGGTACCATGTACTTGACACCATGTGTTTGCAAGGCAGGTGGATTTCAACTGCGCACATGAACAGCATTTGCAGGGATGTTATTCTTATGTTATGTAAAGCTTCGTGATATAAACCTGGTGATACTTCAGTTATCTTGAACTTTTATAACAAAAATTGCATTGAATAACTGATACTTTGTTGAATAGTGCTGTAGAAGTGAACATTTTTCCTGCTCTTAATTAAATCATAACTATTTTAAGTAGGATTTTGATTTTGCAGCTTTGAGCTCCTTCCGCATACTACATGAAGCTATAAACTTCATTCAAGCCATTTCCATGCATTGTGTATATTTTTCATTTCTTTTTAAATGTTTAAACTATTTATTTCCATTATTTTAAAGCTTCCTGTTTTGATCTCTTTTCAGCCAAGGACCTCTGTCTTCTATACGAGCTGCTATAAAACGAAGTAAGTTTGTCAAATCTGAGCTTCAGTGTCATTTTGAGATCATGTAAAAGTAACACATAAAGTAATCATTCCCTGAATCTAAATCAGAATTATGTCATGATTTTAAAGTTAATTTATAGAGTTATTATCCTTTTTAGGATGAACAGCATTTTATCCCTCAGACATTTGACAAACAGAAATCTAAATGTTTCCACTTATAAAAAAAAAACAATGTAAAAATGTCTTGTAAAATGTTTTTAGATGTACAAAATGTCACTAAGCAGGTAAGTTTATGACACATAATTAATATGATCTTTCTTCCTTCAGCAAGAACAAACGCACAGAGTGACCATACCAGAGACAGAAGGTAAAATGAAAAAAATTCCCAAGTAGAGAACTTTATAATTGCTGCTGATGTTTACTTCTTTGACCATGCATTTTGCTGCTCACTGATGCAGACGAATGTAGTTGTCTAATCTGTTGGTTTACATATAATCCCATTAACAGTTGTAAATACTTTGCCAGTTAGGCTAAGAAAGAAACCAGGTTATCAAGAAGAGCAAATTCATCTGTAATCATGTGTATTTTGATGTTCTGAATTCTGACATAGATTTGAACGATTTGTATTTCAGGCGACCAGAGATTACCATTGTCTCAGCAGAACCTTTGGCTGGGAACAACTGGATCTCAGGAACCTCTGTGGTTTTACCTCGGCCTCCTCAGTCAGGCTGGTCTGCAGACACCCAGACTGTTTCCCAGGTAAATGGGCCAGTGTCTAGATTAGGTGTTTTATGGGTCTGCGCTGTCCAATGATATTTCTTCTGTTTCTAGAACACTCAATACAAACTGAGCTTATAAATGCATTACATTCATTCATTTAGCTGACGCTTAGACAAAGCAACTTACAATTGTTATACATGTTAGAGATCACACACCTTTGGAGCAACTAGGGGTTATGTGTCTTGCTCAGGGACACAATGGTGGATGGGTCACAGTGGAGAATTGAACACAGGTCTCTCACACCAAAGGCATGTGTCTTAGCCATTACGCCATCAACACCCCCATGCAGCCCCAAATGCAGCTACAAATCATTAGCTGAGCAGAGCTGTAGCCACCCATCCATCGTCAACCGCTTATCCTGCATACAGGGTCGTGGGGGGCTGGAGCCAATCCCAGCTTACATTGGGCGAAAGGCGGGGTACACGCTGGACAGGTCGCCAGTCAGAGCTGTAGCCAGAATTTCAAAGTTCTCTTTCTCAGAAAATTTTGAGCAGACACCTAATAGAAAATTATTATTTTATTTCTTAACTTGAAGGTCTAAATATTGTTTCAGAGTCATTTTAAGGACATCCTCTGTATTCTCAATAGTAGCTATGGCCCTGTCTTTGATCCTAATTTTATATACAGCACATCACTAAATAAAATACTCAGTAGGTACCATAAGCAGAAATGCCATAGTGTATGGGAATAAACGTGTGTGGGTGTATGAACACATGAATCTCTTTTTCATGACTTAGCCCCCACCATCCTATGACCAGGTGATTCAAGAAAAGAGCCAGGAAGAGCACATTGTCAAGCCCACTGCAGCCCCCCGTCGGAGCACCTGCACCACCACAAGTGCCACACAGACTGACCCTGTGAGGGAAGACACCTCACAGACTGCTCTAGATTCAGCAGAGAAAAGACCTGCTGGTAAGGAACACGAGAATCTATGTTGTAAATGCGTAAAAAAAACGATTAGTGTTAGATTTCTGCTCTACACATTCTTTCATGATGATTACATTTCCCTCCAGGTAAAAAGCCACAGAAACCACAAAGGCCATCATTGCCGAAAGCAGTGGACAGAAAACCGGCCACTGAAACAGTTGCACCCTCCGACAAGAATGCTGAAATAAATACTTCAGTACCCACAAACACTGAGGACCAAAGGGACTCTAAGTCAGATGTAAAGCAACCCAACCAAGCAGATTCCACTCACACATTCACCAGATCTGTCACTGTACACTGGGACGTTCCTACAAAACCTCTTTCTGCCACTGCTGATGAAACTACTCCATCTTCTTCCGACTCAAAACTCAGTCAACGTCCTGTTCCACTTCCTCGTACAAAGTCTCGAAAGCAGGCAACTACAGAAGAGGACAAAGTTCAGACTTTAGTCAAGCTCAGTGAAAGTCGGGACAGCATTCAATCTGATCCTGAAGAGGTTTCCTCAAACAAGTATTTAAAGGAGTTATTGGAGGTCTTTAGTGTAGATAACGATTGTGAGGAGGACGGTAACATTGTTAACCAATCAGACGAGGCCTTACAAGGTGAAGATGCTGAAGAGATGAACACCAACCAGAGTCAACGCAATTTCCAGGCCAGAATCCAGGCCTTTGAGAGCCAGGCTAGAGCCGAGGAGGGAAATGTGGTTGAACCACCTAAACCAGAACTTCGACCCAGGAAGTCGTTCATTAAACCTCCAGTTGCTGCTAAACCTTCTGTAGCTCTTAAACCTCAGTTTAAGCAAGGTATAGATGACGATCAAAATGTGTCATCCACAAACCTCCCCCAAAACCCTACACCGGGCCCTAGACCTCAGCCCCCTAAGAAACCTGTAGGATCTATAAAAGAGGAACTACAAACTTTACTCAACAAGGCACCCATCCCAAACAGATCACGTCCTTCGGTACTGACCAGAGACAACAACGTCTATGATGATGTAACGTCACCAGTTCCTTCTACAGTTTCAGTGAATCCTTTTATGAAACCTTTGACACCCAACCTTAATATAAACAACCACAACCCAGCCTCCATGTTCGGAGACAACAGTACCTATGAGGAGGTGACGTCACCAGTTCCTCCTACACCTCCAGTGAAGCCTTTTAAGGAACCTCTGAAGCCCAACCGTAATATAAACAACCACAACCCAGCTTCCATGTTCGGAGACAACAGCTCCTATGAGGAGGTGACGTCACCAGTTCCTCCTACACCTCCAATTAATCCTTTTAAGCAACCTCTGAAACCCAACCTTAATATAAACAACAACAACCCAGCCTCCATGTTCAGAGACAACAACTTCTATGATGAGGTATCGTCAAAAGTTCCTCCTACACCTCCAGTGAAGCCTTTTAAAGAACCTCTGAAGCCCAACCTTAATATAAACAACCACAACTCGGCCTCCATGTTCGGAGACAATGCATGGGACAGTCCATCAAGTGAGTAGCATTTTATTTTAAGTTGCATATTATTTGAGACAAAATACTGCTCTTAATCAATTGTTTTATCATAATAAACCTTTATTTATAAATGACCTTGTTACAATGTGCTGTACTGCAATGAAAGCAAATAACTCATCTTGTATAAGTCCAAGTATGTAAAAACATCAAAAAGAATGATAGATGTCCATTAGCCTAAAATCTTGAAATGGCTTACCCCATCTGATCAACAGGCATTCAGTTTGCGATGATAAGAAATAAATGAAGCAAGCAAATCTTCAGCTAGCAACTAGTAATGTAGGTATTTACTGCAAAGGAATAGTTTTGGGAAATTCCAGTTTGATGAGAGTTGGAGTTAGATGAGAATATCATTGCCTAGCTAGCTTAGCATAAAGACCAGAGGCCTACAATTTAACAGTCAACAGCTCGGCAGAGTTGCTGCACAGATCTTTACTGGGCGGGTAAATGAACTGTTTGTCAAGAAATAGTTACAGGACACCAATTATGTTAAAACATATGTTTTTACGTTTTTACATATGTTTGCGTATGGGTTAAACAAATGAGATACAAGGTGTTAATTGGTGAGCTTTGGATGTCATGGTAGGTGTATTTTAAACTTTGAAGAGAGCCAGGCTAGCTGTTTCCCCCTGCCTACAGTCTTTATGCTAAGCTAGGCTAACTAACTCATGGCTCTAGCTCCATACTTAACATTCAGACACAAGAGTGATATTAATGTTCTCACCTCTTGACAAGAAGGCAAATAAGCATATTTCCCAAAATTTGAAAGCAAATAGTTAACGGCCTACTGTTCTGGGTTACACATTATATTCTAAAACTGTGTTGTCTGTTGTATGGTTCCTGAACATCCAAAACTGCTTAGTGTAGCATTATGTAAATACACAGCTATACAATTAAGTGTCTCTTTGCTCAGATTATTTCCCGGTCAAGCCTCAGTGTAATGTAGACAGCAATGAAGGCTCTTTCACCCGACAAAGTGTAACACGAAGACCAACCACCATCAGGGTCCCTAGCAAAACTGGTTCATGTAAGTCCATCTCCCTCTAATGTGCAGTAAACTGTTTGCTATATATAACTATAAATTTAATGTGATTTCTGTATACTCAAGTTAAACTGTTAAATTTGATTTGTGCATGTTGGTATAAACAGATGTTTTATACGGTTTCAAAAGACTTTTTATAGTTTAATGATATTTTACATACTGTACCTGTGTTTCTATTTTTAAACATTTTCTTTGTATACATCATAATGAACCACACATTTTCAGTATGTTGTGGTAAAAGCAGATCTCTTCTCAGTCTCAGACAATTTTCAGGACAGTGTCCCTCCTCTCCCTGTTCAGAAGGCTGTAGGCTACCTACAAAGCTCAACGCCCACCCAATCCTTCCAGGTAAGATTTGCATCACACTTGTGATAACGGGTGATCACAAACCTATAAACTATTCAAACACTACCTCTGAACATCTCAGGAGAGTTCAAGCTTTCCACAAAGTGAAGGTTATTCTTTGTAACTACATCAGGAAAGTGATGTTTCTTGTCAAACAACATCTTTGTCCTTGAACCTTTAATGTATTTCAGCCTTTCCTCAAAAAATTGTTTTTGACTCTCTTTAAAAGATTTTGTGCAATTAGTGTACAGCACATCTACTTAGAAACGCTGACGTGGTACATTTTGAGTCAGTCTCAATCAGGTTTATCTTGTTAGTCAGCTGTGTGGCATACCTGCTTCATTTCCTCTGCTTTCTACAAACAAAGAAACTATTGTAGCCCTATGAACACATTGCCTGCTGCTGAGCTGAAACTAGAGGTTGGTTTCTATAGTTTCCAGTACGGTAGGTCGTGCGGGTTGTTTTGAGTGCTAATAAAATCCACAATTGTATTCTTCTGCAGGAGTCTCACCAATATGTGCCAGAGCCATCACTACCACCTAGGTGAGTGAAGAGGAAACGTCTAGCAGTAAAATTTAAATGTAAAATGATAGTAGGCTACACTTTGTAAAGATGCTACTCTTCTCAATTTGATGATGGTATTGCACCTCAGGAGGCTGAGTACAAGCAAACCCCTCCCACCTCGCCCACCTCCAGCCAAAACAGGCCCAGGAAGACCTCCCCCATTCAGCCCTCAGGCCACAGGTCGATCCCAATCGTCATCATGGGAAGCTTCACCAAAACCCCAGCAACAGAAGCCCCAAAGGAAAGGACCCGTCTTACCTCCAAGGCCCAACCCTGGCCACCGTCTCTATAACAGTTACACTGTAAGAGAGAGATCCCACTGCACCAATAAATCATGTTTCAGATACCACTTGATGAGCACCTGTCATTTTTGCTTTCTTTCACCAGCTTCAAGTTCCTCATGGGATTGCTAGCTTTGACTACTTTGGGAGTCATACAGGAGAACTGTCATTTCAGGTGACTTTTTTCACTGGCTTACATATTGGCTTTACATAAACGTGCATTACTAGACTCAATTCCACAGTCCATCTAAAACAGCTGGATCTACAGAGTTTATTTAGCAACAGTGAATACCTTTTTGTTGGCTTTTTTCAATAGAAAAATGAAGTCCTGCTGCTGCTAGAGGAGATTGACCACAATACGTTCGAGTGCCAAGTTGGAGACACCAGAGGCAGAGTCCACAATTCCCGCATGAAGATTATTACCCCTCTTGCCTCCGTCTCACACATGTCCCCACCACAGGTAACTTGTCCTGTTCATTTATGAGTAAATGCATGTCTCTGATGCTTGAGACTGACCTTTAGGTGTCTTTGTCCTCTCTCTGTAGGATGCTGGTCCAGCTGATTCAGGTGGAGCTGGTTATGGGCTTAAGGTGAAGGCCTTACATGACTTCATCCCAGGTGAAAACATCAGGGTTTTTTTTTTTTTTTTTTTTAAATAATCAAACAGCTGTTAATACTGACTGAGATTATACAATAACATTAAATGAGACGATATATTAAAAGAATAGTTTGACATTCGGGAGAACACTCTTATACCACTCTCATGTGTCTATATGATTATGGAGCCTGGAGGCAGTTTTATTCTAGAGCAAAAAACAAAACAAATATTTGTGAAATTTTAGCACGTTTTTCAAGGGCCATGCTAGCTGTTTCCCCCTGCTTCTGGTCTTTATGCTAAGCTAGGCTAACCACCTCCTAACTCCAGATCCATAACACACAGATTTGAGTTTGGGATTTATCATCTCGCTTTTGGCAAAAAACCCAAAAATGAATAGTCTATTTCCAAGATGTCAAACATGGATATTTGGGTGAAAATAATAATAAAAAAATTATCAAGATTTTTGGAACTGAAATCAAAGATTTGTTTTTTTAATTTGGAAGTTGTATGTTTAAAATGCCTGATATGTTTGTTCTGCACACACAGAGGGTCAGGGAGAGCTGGCCCTAAGAGCAGGAGATGTTGTAACAATGGTGGAGCAGGTGGACAGTGAGTGGTACAAAGGCTCTTGTAGGGGATCTACTGGTTTCTTTCCCATCAATTACGTCAAAGTCCTGGTAAGTTTCCACCAATGAAATCTATTCTTGCAAAGCATCGATCACCTTCATTTTAACAACAGGGCTTGTTATTTAGATATGTTTACCATGGTTAAGGATTCCGTAATTTGAAGATTTTCATTATCATTTCTCCAATTAGTCAAATTCACCAAAACCCCTCCCTGAGCGCAAAGTGCCACCACCTGCAAAAGTCAGGTACTGTTCTTACATCATAAATTGTTTCCACTAGCCTTTACAAACCAATCTGATGAACTAATCTAATCCAACGAAGGTTAAAGTCAAGGGCAACTGGACTTGGTTGAAGATACTGGAAGAAGTCCAGTTGCCCTTGACTTTAACCTTCGTTGGATAACTATGACCTGGATGACTGAGAATCTTCATAGACAACTAATCTAATGTTTGAGATGTTGTTGCCCTCCCCTAAAGTGGTCCAAGATGCATGGCGAGGTTTGACTTCGAGGGGGAGCACATTGATGAGCTGTCGTTCTCTGAGGGGGATGTAATCCAGCTGAAGGAGTACATTGGACAGGACTGGGCTCGGGGACAGATTGGCGTCTTTACTGGTATCTTTCCTCTTAACTTTGTGGAGGTCATTGAAGATCTGCCTCCACCTCCAAGTCAGCAGCAACAGTCCAACAGGATAGCACTGCCTGGTAAGATTATCTGGAAGCACTAAAGATCAATTCATGTGCTGATTTGACCACCAAGAGTGAGTAGAAACTGTATTATATGGTCCATATTCAATGTCCTAAATGGGACTACACCAACACAACATTCTCCTCTTGAATCTAAACAAAAGAGGGGCTGTGTCTGTCAATGAAGAATCTTTGTACATCCTTTTCCGTTTTATGTTGGCTGGCATTTCAATCTGTGGCATGTCAGGAATTCGCGCTTCTGTTTGTATTTCATTAAATAGCTGTTTACAAAAAGTCTCAGTGAACTTTAAGCCTTAACACACTCATGCAACAAGTGCAGTAGCCAGGAATTTAGAAATACTGAGGTCATCATGAGTTAAGGTACCTCCAAACAAATGTATTCAAAAATGTAACTTATTTGGATTTGTCATATTTTATTTATTTGTTCTTTAGCTGTTGAATTATAATGGTTTGCAGGTTTCTTTATGAAATCAGCAAGTACTTGTCTCCATTTTCCCTATTATGTACTACCCGATTACATAGTTCTTTATTTCCAGGAACCTTTCTAGTTTTAAATTATTAGGAAAGTACATTACGGATTTATTTCCCACCATGAAATTTGAAGTATTGTTTCAAATGCCTTTTTGAATTATATTCTAATTCTTATAAAAAATACTGGAATCAGCCTCAACAATTTAAGTTTTAAACTGTAGAATGTCACAAAGCCCCAAATTCACAGAAGAACATACTGCATTATTGCACTGATACATCAATAATAACTACCTCAAAGTTGGCCCCACAGATTTGTTTTGTTCCCTGATTGGAGGGTATGTGTATTTCATTTTTCATAAAATGTGCGACATTCTTTTCCCCACAGGCATGGCTGCTTCTCGGAATACACACTCTGAAGTTGCTAAACCTGCTCAGGTAACAGATATTTATATAAACAAAAGCGTCAGTAAGGATGATGCATCAAAGAAAAATGTCTGTGAAGGTTCTCAGCCATCCAGGTCATAGTTATCCAAGGAAGGTTAAAGTCAATAGCAGTCGATTCCCATCACCCACTGGAGCATAAGCTAGGAGTCATCAGAACCCTGCACCGCTGAGCTGAGAACATACCAACCAGTACCCAAGCCCAAGAAGAAGAATAGAACCACCCGAAGGGGACACAAGCCTGTGGATACCCTAAATGGACCTTTTGTAAAAACAGCTACAAGATCCAGGAAGAAGACGAACACTACGGGTGATGAATAAAAGATAACGCAGTAACATTGTCATTCCATGTTTCTCGAGTATCAGAGAAACTCAGAATGATTTTCAACAAACACGACATTCCTATTTTTTAAACCCAAGAACACGCTAGGATAGATACTGGTCCACCCTAAAGACCATGCACCCAAACACAAGAAAAATGTCTATGAAGATTCTCAGTCATCCAGGTCATAGTTATCCAACGAAGGTTAAAATCAAGGGCAACTGGACTTGGTTGAAGATACTGGACGACGTTTCGTCCCTCATCTAAAGGACCTCTTCAGTTCTGACTGACTGGCAGGGAAACTCAGCTATTTAACCTCAGTGGGGTCGTTATCCCGGGTCATCGATACCGCTGGTTCGTTAGTGTTCCTTGTTTCTGTGACGACAGTCGTTACAGTCGTTCAGACTACCTGTGGCCAAGACTGAACGACCATCGTTGGTATCTTCACCTGAGGCCAAGAGGTTACGTTTGTTGAGTTTCCTGGGAAGTGATGAAAGGACAACATTGTAAGTGGGGGATAAGTGGTGGCGTAGACCCCCTCCCCTGTTCAATGACGGCTTCTCAACCCGGGTGTAAATGGCTTCCTTGACACCTCTTTCAAACCATCCATCTTCTCTGTCTAAAATGTGCACCTGGTGGTCCTCAAACGAGTGTCCTCTGTCCTTCAGATGTAAGTAAACTGCAGAGTCTTGACCTGAGGAGTTGGCCCTTCTATGTTGAGCCATGCGTTTGTGAATAGCTGAGTTTCCCTGCCAGTCAGTCAGAACTGAAGAAGTCCTTTGGATGAGGGACGAAACGTCTTCCAGTATCTTCAACCAAGTCCAGTTGCCCTTGATTTTAACCTTCGTTGGAAAACACAAGAAAAGTAATCTAGAAAAGAAAAGCTATTGACTTTAACATTCCTTGGATCAAAGATAAAGGTTTGTTCCAGCTGAATATTGTACTTGTACTGATGCTCACATGCCCACTTGTTGACATTTTCTGTTTTTATCTTAAAATAATTTATTTTAATTTGAAATATACCATCTCCTCTCTTGTGCTGCTCTCTCTGTAGGCGTCTCAGTCCTGTGTGGAGTGGGGGGTGGCTCTGTATGACTTTGCCGGGAATTCAGACAACGACCTGTCCTTTCAACAGGGCGACTCTATCCTGATTACTGAGCATATTGACGATGAGTGGAGCTGCGGCCAACTCAACGGCAGGGAGGGAATGTTCCCCAGGGCTTACGTTGAGACCAGCACAGGTAGGCCTATGAAGTTCTCACGGCAATGGTTATTAATATGACAGCCCTTAAGTTCATCATTATCTCCAGTACTTCCAATATGTGCTATCAGTGAACTTACCATAAGGGTTTTAATAAAGACAAACCTATTTAGAAGGACCATCAGTGAATGTGTCTTATAGTGCTACCATGTGATTGGTAGAGAAAATAAGGTGTTAAATTGTGATTGTAAACTGCCTTGTCATAGATTCTTCAAGTAATTCATTTGTGGAACAAAGAGGCCACCATTTTTAATCTTTATTAAACTGAAGTTGTACTGTAGCATTTCATGGTGACAAGCAATTTTATTGGCAGTACGGCTGCAACCAACTATCTCCTGTTTGTTTTAGACTGGTCTAACAATTTTACTAAACCAGGTGAAATATTCACTATTAATCAGCTACAATGGGTATTTGTATGTAGTTATTTAAACAATTAATCGCTTGCATAAATTATTTGCAAACTCTAATTGGCACAAATGGACAGTTTAACTAAACATCATTAATTCAGTATATGCCTTCTTCACCAGGCCAGCAGTCATCTGATAAACAGCAGAACGTGTATGGTGGTGGTAGAGCCAGGGCTCGGTTTGACTTCGAGTCAGATTGTGATGAGGAGCTCTCTCTGAAGGTATGGGGAATGATCCCTTCTCCCGGTTATGAATAAATACCACAAATTCACAGATGACAAATGTGGTTAAAGTGCTGCCATTCAGACAACTTCTCACTCCTTTCTCAGGTTGGCGATATTATAACCAATCTGGAGTCCATCGATGAAGAATGGTTCCTGGGTGACTTGAGAGGGAAACGGGCCCTGGTCCCTAAAAACTATGTGGAAGTACTGGAATAGCACCACGCAGCTTTCAGTGCAATATGGGACACTGTTGGAGGACTCGAACAGAAATGACATCTTACGACAGATGTTTTCAGCAGTGGAAGTCTGAAGTGAACTCTGGAATGCAGTATTTCCTGTTCTAGTGCAACTTTTAAGTATTGGCTGAGTTATGTTATAAATAAACGTTAAAAGTAAAGCTGGCTGGCAATTTAAATACACTGGATATTAATTTACAAGTGAACTGTTTGGAGTTACTCCAGTGGTGCATTTGCACCATCTAGTGGTTTTTTATTTTCCTCCCAATGGTTTACAATGGACTGCTTCAAGTAAGGACTAGGATTACCAACTCACCTAATTCAATCATTGCTTCACCAATAGATTAACCATTAGTTTTACAAGTGACATTTTTTCCATCCTGGAAACACTTGTTTCCCCTGTATTGACTAAAGTGCTATGCCGTATAGGCTCCATATTGCCAAAGGTAACAAATCGTATAAAAGTGGGATTATCAATTTACCAATCCCATGTAGGTACACTACATCAACTTGTAATACAATTAGTACATATACAGTTTTGGGAATTATAGCCGCAAAGTGTAATTCTCAAATTTAATAAAGCTTATGAAATTCTTGCCAAAATATTGGATACAATTGCTTGTAAAATATTCTAGCGTCTACAAAATGTAATGGTCCTACTATACACAGAACAAAAAACAGAACACTTTGTTGGTCATTTACGTTTTTTTATTAAATCTGTCAGGGTGTTTTAGACGGTCTCCTGGATGGGGGGCTCATAACCATCAGCCCTTTCCACCTTGGCTCCAGTGTCATCACCAGATGCCTTTGCAGCACTGCCGGCACCACCTTCACCGTGGAGCTCCATCAGTTTACCCACTGCAACAGAACAGATTGCTTTTAACTACAGGTTAAGAGGGCACTGACAAATTTAAGCAGCTGGATGTTCGAAGTCAAAAACGGCAATGATTAAATTTATTTCATCCTTCACCCCTAAACCCCATTTGAGATTTTACACTCTGAAAACCAACTATTGCAAACCTGCTTCATCCTTCCACACAATTACTGAAAACAGTATTTTTTTTTTCTTGTGAGGGAACGTCAGCTGATCTCAATAGGTAGTAATCAGGCGTCATCTGGGACCGAAGCAGTCATCACATGTTCCCAGAGGTAGAAAGGTACAGCCACGGTTATAGCCAGTGTTACAGCTGTGCATCACTTACACTCAAACTTGGGCTTCTTAAGCATCTTGACCTTGCGGACGTAGACGTCATGTAGAGGGTAGATGGACTGACAGGCCTTCTCAATGTCCTTGCCAACACTGTCAGGGATCCTGGAACACGACACAGTACAACATTGACGTTAAAAGGGTAATCAGTTCACAAATCCGTTTTCAGAGACAAAGTCTACATAAAACTGGCTCTTCAAAAATACACGTTTCATAAAAATAAACTAGCACTGACAAATGCCATTTTGACAAGATGAGAACAATTATACAATAAAAAAAAATTTAATAAGTGAAAGCAAAGACTCTACCCAAACTGTAACAGGTGTTTTTAGTTTAATTATTTTTGGTGACACAGCCATTTATCTTCATACTAATCTGTGTTGTGAAAAACTAGTTATAACAAGTATGCATGCAGGGGCAGTACAAACTAAGTGACTTACAGCTTGTTGACAACTTCCTTCAGGTCATTGGTCTGAACCTCACGGGTCATGATCTCCATCATCTTTTTGCGGATCTGGCGGACCTGCTGGTGCTGGGCATAGGAGGTTTTTCTGATCTGGTTGGTGCGCTTCTTTGTGAACCCCACGCAGAACAGGCGCAGAAGGTAGCCGTCGGTGGTCTTCACATCCACATGAGCTTCAATCATGGTCTGAGAGGAGGGAACAGATTAATCCTGATAAGACTAGGAAAAGTTCACTCAGCCTCAACCTGCCACCTCTCCATTTGTCATAGTCTAGAATCTAAGCTGAGTGGTAATCCAAATTTTGCTGTGCTCACCTTCCCTCAACCTGCTTTTTAACCACAAGATACAGTTTCATAGCCTCCGAACAGGTTGTACTAGACCGCTGTTTGGTATATACACTTACCATTTAATGCCTTGCAAATAAACAAGTTTCAGAAATCACAACCTGTGTAAAGTTTAAGTATAAATAATGTGCAACTATCCCTCCATATTTCAGGAACAAAGTTTTGCCACCAAAATCATGGACTGATTCCAGTAATCAGCAGTACATGTGACACTTTACAAAGTTATTTAAAGTGGAGGGAAAAAAACAGTAAAGTTCAGTTTGTGGTGTTCTCCCATGTTCATGGAGGTCAAAAGAAAATGTTGCATCCCTAACTGCACTGCTCCTGTTTAGACAGGAGGAAGTTTGTGCATATTTCATTCCATACAACTACTGAAGATAGATACACAACATAGAGTTTAATTCAAGTCTCTTTTGCATGAAAACGCAACTGTTGGTTAAATGTGGTTCGCTGCTACTGAGCTCTATGGTACACTAATACAACAGTCGCTATTAAGGGTTAGAGACTCAAAAACACTGTCCTGATAGTATATCGACTTCACCTGTTGAACAATGGTCACTTATATTTGGATGAACTATTGCCAAAAACAGTTCTCTTCAAATTCCAAGGCAATATATTATGATTCATACTAGCCCCCTTTTGTGAAACATTAAACCCATTTATGGTTGGTTAACTGGAATGCAGTATTTCCTATTCTAGTGCAACTTTTAAGTATTCGCTGAGTAAAATCATGGTTATAAATTAATATTAAGAGTAAAGCTGGCTGGCAATGTAAATACACTGGATATTAATTTTCAAGTGAACTGTTTGGATTACTCCAGGAAATTGGCTTATATGCCTGCTTATGATTCAGTATCACAAATGCATTTAGTTTTCACGCTTCTCTCAACCACTTATCCATGCTCTTTCCTAGCAATGTCTCTTCAGTTGCATTTAGAAGCGCTTCGGTACCAGGTTTTTACTGTTACCACTGGGAGTAGTTGATCAAGCACCTCAGAAAACAGACACCTCAACTGCCACTCCTGCTAAACTGACCCTCCAGTCACAACCCTACTGCACATGCACACTACCACAGCTCTGCCCATGTTGTAAGGTGTTGTCTTCCTTAAATGTTTAGTCAAGGCATATTAACCTAACAATTATATTGTTATCAACTTGGTATTAAATCTCAGATGTTTGGGAACTAATACGGGTTAAACAAGTGCTGATTTTGAGTCCATTTCTTTTGTTACAATAAAAATTCAGATAGACATGTATTACGGTTCACACAACATAATAGTTACCTGCCATTTCTTGACCATGGAGCACATCTTGTCGCGGGTGAGGTCCATGCCGTGGAAGTTGGTGAGGCAGTTCTTGCCCTGAACATCCTCAGTGATGAGTTTAAACTTACGGAAGGCCACCTCGTCGTTCTGCAGGTCAGCGAGGCTCACCTCGAACACACGTCCCTTAAGACCATCTGAGGCGATTCCTAAGTGATTGCGAATAATAATAAGTACAAGTTAGAACACAGGTAATCTCTAATGAGAAATTCTGTTTATCTCATAGGTAGTAATAAGCAATCATTTAGGGCTGATCGTACAGTCCCATTACAGCGCATGAAGTTTTAATCTTAGTTTTACTATAGTCTCATTCATCACATCATTGACAAAGCATGGAGCTTGTATTTGATCAAAAGCAATTTAATGTATGGAGGAGACAGCTAAAATAATACTGCACATGAATTTACAGTATGAAGAGGACTTACTGGTTCCCTGAGTCCTGGTGACCAAGGTCTTGCCAAGATTGCGGATGTTGAACATGGCTGGTGCCTTGACATCATACCAGTCCTTCTTGGAAAAAGGGTCCACACTGCAGGAGAGTAAAAAGCACTTAGGGCCAAGTCGCTGAGCATAAACAACAGTCTATTCGTCTGATTACAAAACATTGACAGTGGGCTTGCGAGCTCAAGTGCAGACTCGCTGCTAGCAAACCGGCTAAGCACGCACTGCAGGGGACACTGCTCGAGTTAGCGAGCACCATGGAGGACTTCTGATCAATTCACCGATGTCAGCGATTTCCTAAAACGACTTGACCACACAATTCAGACACTCGGGTTGTTCGCTCACGCCGTACAGTACCCATTATCCTCATCAGTAAAAAATTGTGGCGTTTGCCTGGCATGGTGATAAGTAAGCTCGGCTCAATCCATGCTAACATTTGGTAACGTCAGCCTGTCGCAAGTAACGTTACTGGCCTTATCTCTGCAGTTAAACTGGCGCAGCTTGTTGTGCTTCTTTAGACATAATCCCGTGAATAAATTATACAAGTATAATTAAATCAACTGAATTATGAGAAATGACTACAGCGTACAGAGTAAAATGAACACAGCAGTAGCATGTAACACCACCATCCAGCGCCACAGAGGCCGGTGACGACGAGACTTGCACTGGCCCTGTAACATCTAATTAAAATCGGCTTCATCCTTCACATTTCTTGCACCGGAGTGACACCAATGAATAAGGCAAAGCTTTTTTCGTGTAACGGTGTATGAATTTGCTACTTACATCTTCTTTTTGGCACCTTTTTTGCCGCCTTTGGTCAGCCTCTTATTCTTGCCGACTGCCATGTTGGCTACAGGGAGTGAAAGAGGAGGAAACACGAAATACCGCGAGAAATAAAGAGACCAAAGTCGTGAGATTTGTCTTATCTCGCGAGTCCATGTAGCTTATTTTTGACGCCCTCTGCTGGTAGACTCATGAAGTATTTATATAAATATACAGTCAATGGAAGTATGTAACTTAATTTGTGATGTCTTTGGAAGTAAATAACTGTATGTGAAATGTTATCTCTATTGAAAAGGCTACCTTTAATTTAAATACCGCGGAATTTATTACATTAGAAAAACGTCTTTCTGAATGTGTAAGTTACACAGATTGGATCAGTGACACCAATGTCCATCATGTAATGTATGAACTCTATAATTTAGCTAACCAAGGATGGAAGTAAACCATCCTGAATGGAATTCCTCCACAATCCTCCACAGTTTCATAAGCAAAAAACACAAGTATTCTGTATATAATATCTATTTTATTGTTTAATCACAGATCACAACAGACCACATTAAATTACAAGGTACAAGGTTGTTTATGAGTCATTATACGGCACAAGGC